GATCACCAGGAAACACCTGAAAACACATAAAAATAAACATTTTCGAAAAACACTGTGTTTTTCCAGAACAAAAACAGATATCAATAATCGGAATATGTGAAATGACAAAAAACAATGGTAATAAACAATATCGAAAAACACTGTGTAACTCTGGAACAATAACTGTTATCGATATGCGGTTTTTACTATCAATTTTTGTTAGAGAATTGACCATCTGACTTTGACATCATCATCCCATATTCCCTTCAAGATGAAAGTGATGATTTTTTATCTGAATAGGAAGAAATATTGAAGAAAAATTAAGTGACATTATCTAGGGATGTGGCTGTTGATGTTACCCCAAGAAAAACTATGAGGAATTGTGTCCCCTTGTGTATCACTCCTGAAGAGTATCTTGGTTTCCCTTAGAAATCATTATTTCACTATTTCATTAAGATATTCAGGATTTCATTCTGGTTGATCACCAAACCGGTTACTTTTTTATTATTGGAGGAAGTGAAATTTGGAAGTTCGTGAATTATAGTCCAATTGACATTTTGTGACATATCTACTTGCTTTGGCGTACTTCCGGTTTGACTAAGAATCACTTTCGATTTCTGAATAAAACGCCCTCTATTTTGTTTCATTATCGGTCGAGGATTATCGTAAAAAAAATTTCTGCATTCAAAGTTCCCACAATGCTCAATAGGTGTGACGACACAATATCAAAAAGTCTTTCTCTGTCACATTCATTGTGCATATGGAAACTTCAAATGTGAATATGTCCATAAACGGTAAAAATATCCCTATCAATCCCGCGGTATCGTCGAAATCGTTGATATTCCCTTACCGATGATGGGATAAAATACCTACATGTCTCATTCAAAAATCCAAAGTTGAGGTTATTTCCGGTGAAACCGGAAGTATGACAAGGCAAATAGATATGTCAAGATATGTCAATTGGATTCTGATCCATATCTGCCAAATCTCGTTCAGTACCATCAATAATTGAATAACTATAGAGGTGTGCCTATCACAAGAAAATCATATACTTCATGCATCTTTTAGAATAGAACAGTTCATATTCACTATATTCCGCTGTATTTTGAGTTCGAATTGGAATATGAGAAACATTGATTCATTCCAAACTTGTTCATCTTTTGGAGCGCACGAAAGGTTATCCCTATTTCATTGGAATTCTCTGTCAAGCTTGGAAACATGATATCAACAAGAATCACACTTAATCTGAGGAGTATTGAGGTATCGCGAGGAATGACCAAGGAAATGAGGAAGATAACGAGGAATAATAATTGTGAGGAGTGACGAAGAATTATAAGGAATTTTGAGGCATTGAGAAATTAGTGTACCCAATTTCACTCGAGAAATACCCCTCGGAAAATTCGATTTGATTCGGAGCGAGATTAGAAAAATATTCCATTCCAAATTCCGCTTGGAATTTTTCCATACCTCAGGTCAGATATTTACTTCAAAATGTCACTGTCACTCAGCTCACTTTATAATTTGAAATTATGGGAATGGGTGAAATGTGAAACACAAACCTCTTCAGGAGCGAATGAAACAAGAACTGCGAGAAGAACTGTGAGAGCTTGACAATTTATATGAGGGTGCTTTTTATATGTGAAATTAAACGAGATTTCACAATTATTTGAATCATCATTCGATGGACAAAGAGGATATGATATGAGTCAACGTAGTAATAGAGTGTCACTAGTGCCCTCTTGATAAGCAATCCCAAAATAAGTGAGTTGTAAGGATTATCGTGACAAAAATTTTCGCATTCAAAGTTCCCATAATGCGCAATAGGTGATGTAACAACACAATATCGAAAATTCTTTTTCTGTCACACTCATTGAGCATATGAAAACTTTCAATGTGAATATGTCCGAAATCTTTTTAAATATCCCTATTTAACCCGCGGTATCGTTGAATTCGTTGATAATCCCTTACCGATGATGTGATAGAATTTGGGGTGTCTCGAGGGGTGTCTCATTCAAAAATCCAAAGTTGGTGTTATTTCCGGCCAAACCGGAAGTACGACGAAGCAAATAGATATGTCAAAATATGTCAATTGAATTATTATCCGCAACTGCCAAATCTTGTTTCACTACCTTCAATAATTAAATAGTTATATAGGGGAGAGCCTCCTTGGAAAATCACCCGGTATACCTCATGAATCTTTTCGAATAGAACACCTCATATTCACTATATTCCGCTGTATTCTAAGTTCAGATTGGAATATAAAAAACATTCATTTGTTCCTAACTTGTTCATCTTCTGGCGAATCTTTTGGAGCGCACGTAAGGAAATCCCTATTTTATTGAAATATTTCGTCCAGTATAGAAACATGAAATCGACAAGAATCTCAAGGAATCTGATGAGTATTGAAGTATCGTGAGGAATTACCTGGGAGCTGAGGGTGATGAAAAGGAATTGCGAGGATTTACGAAGAATAATAGAGAATTTCGAGGCATTGAGTAATTATTGTACCAACTCGAAAAATACGACTCGGAGAATAAGATTCCATTCGAAGCGCGATTGAGAGGAAAATATTATATTTCGAATATCGCTTCGAATTTTCCCATACCTGAGGTAAGATATTCACTTCAAATTTTCGCATGTTGATGACGTTGTGAGTGATTGTCATCATTGATTTCTGTCATTTTTTTACTGTCACTTAGCTTTATGATTCAAAATAATAGAGAAGAGTGCAAAGTTGAACACAAACCTCTTCATTATCTTTAAATTTATACGGCAAAATGGTTGTTTGAAACACTTGCAGGTCACTGATGATGATCAAAAATATCTCAAAACGTGACTTACAGTCACTGAACATGCTATGCCAACAGTTATGAAAGTCGATCTCAGCCTAGTCTTTTTATTTGCGAAATTATTTATTTCCAAAAAAACTTCAACGCCTTGTACCAACTCAACGAGTCGATTTTAAATATAGGTGAGTTGGCCTAAATCAACTTGTTTTCATCCCAGGAGTCCACAGCCGAGCCATGTTCCAACAACCTTTCACAGACACCCTGTATATATTATTACAGATATTTTCAATTCAATCTCTGAAGATTCTTGGTAATGAGATATTGATAACTAGTTATCAATAGATGTTATAGAGAATATAGTCTCTGAATTAGATATTAGATTTTTGATATACAACGTGTCCAGAAATTAGCCTGCCAAATTTCACCAGCGGCTTTAACGACCAAAAATAGAAAGGAAACTTTTGATCAACATGAGTCGAGAAATGTTTCCTAAAAGAGCTACGGCCCCCTGAAAGGGGGCTCCTGAAGATGATATTTCTTTGATATTTCCGAAACGTCACGTAATGAAATGATGCAATCAGATACGAGAACCAGACTCCATGCCCAATGCAGTGAAAGTGAAATCATTCCAAAAGTTCAATGAGCAGTGTTTAATACACGATGGGACTACATTAAATCGAGCATTAAATATTGCTCAAATTTTTTGTATGCTCATTTTTAGACAATTCAATCCTAGATTATGGAGTTCTTCACCTTTTCATAGAAAAAAGGTACTTTTGTTTCGTGACGATCAGAGGTATTATTATCGAGTAAGAGCTAATCAAAAATATTGTTACATCCGAGGTCTCAGCTATTTTGCAAGGCATAATCATAACCAAGACCATAACATTGCAATGAGTCGTAGTGAAAATGGAAAGAATGCCCAAAAATAGAAGTAGTTTTTTCATCATCATTTCACTATTTTTCGCGCATTTATGGTATTGTTTGGTTAAAAAAAATGTACCTTATTTTTTCATTGCCATTGTGATTCGAATATTCGCAAAGTTATGCATAAGATGTGAGTGCATCAATATTTCCAAATCGATTTCACTCAAGAATAATACATCTGATTGATGCAGAACACGATCACCTGTTTTGTGAAACGGTGTGGAGTTCGAAAATCCGAGATTAATTTGTCAAGAAATCTGCTTCCGAAAACGTTTGAGCAATATTTAATGTAGCCCCACCCTGTATTATACAGAAGTTCAGTTCTTGTATCAAATTGCATCATTTCATCACGTGGCGTTTCGGAAATTTTGAATAAATATCATCTTCAGGAGCCCCCTCTTAGGGGAGCGTAGCTTCCTTAGGGGACATTTCTCGACTCATATTCATTGAAACTTTCCTTCCTATTCTTGGTCCCAGAATCCGTTTGTGAAGTTTGGCAGGCTAATTTCGGGACACCCTGTATAACATATGAATTTCAATATTTTGTAGCAAATCCAAGTATATATTTTTATCTGTTGGATAGTTGAACAATAGTTCTACATTCTTCAGATTTTTCAATATAAGGTATTTTCAATAATTGACGAATTGACGAATTGACGAATATGTTCCAAAATTTTGTGATTCAAAAAGTACCTAGTTGTTCTCTGGTAGATGTTTCCTCGGATGTTTCTTCAAATAATAGTTTTCCAATTACTCAATGATAGTTCAATTCGTAGCTCAATGAACGATATGATATTTGTTTCAATTGGAAATGTGACAAATGAACACATGATTCCCGATGATTATTTCTATAGAACATACTGGAGAGATACCAACGAGTCAGCTGAACATCTGATTTTGAAGACTACTGAGAAAAGCAACTTAGTTGACAAAATACTCATTGTAGTATTCCTGAATATCACACTAATCCTTGGTATGAAATTACGAGGAAGGCAAATAACCGAGCAAATAACAATTGTGTCTTCTACTCAAACTCAGTAGCTATACTCTCGGGAAAATATGAACACTGAAATACATACCCTAATAAAGTCGGAGGTTTATATTGCCAACAAACATTTTATGACCATTATCATATAAAAATCTATCTATCAGTCTTTTAACCATGTATACTCCATTAATCTATCGAGGACATAGATTAAACGTCATCATATCTATTCGATATCCACAATATTCACAAATACTCTGACAATCATTCGATTATATCACACAGGGAATATACAAATTTACACGTACATACATATACAACAAAACTTCACAGCACTGAGGAAGTCGCTAAGTTTGAGCAACTCGGACAGTCCTTCGAAATATTTCTTCAACATTAGGAACATATTAAGTCTTTGGTATCAGGTGAACTTGAAGTTTTTTACACGTCGGTTCCACAACCTTCTTGATATCCTTCGTCAGGAGAGTTTCTGCTATTGCTCAGAGCTCTCTTGAGAGCAGTAACTGGAGGAAGAACAGGCACGACACCTTTCTGCCACACCCTGAGAGTTTTCGTGTTGGCTGGTAGGCTGACTTGAGCAGCAGGAGTTGAACTGTTCTCCAGTTTTGTTTCGGAGATAGGAAGACCATAATCAGGAGGGTATCCCACCAATCTGTTAGTCCCTTGTGCAAGTCTGAAGCTCAGTTCTTCTGCTGACCCTCCAGTACTCGTTCCATCTCCAATGATAGGGGTTTTATCATTGTAGTGATATCCAGTATTTGAAACCATTCGTGAGTTGTCGTTCTCCCACAACCCAGATGGATATAAGGAGTCTATGTTCCTGCTATATTCCCCACTGACTGGCCTATCTAATAGATCATTGCTAGTGGGCAGAGCAATAATTTCTCCTCCATCTGATACTTTCGTGTCGTTTATCAGATCAGGATTATTTCCTGATGTCGAAGATGGTGATACGAAACAGGAACTCGACATAACGCTGCCATTACCATTATAATGAACAGTGGAATAGGGAATCTCACTGAGACGTGGTGGCTTCTGGACTGGGTTACAGAAATTGAGGTCAGAGGGTGGCTTACATTCAGAGAAAGAAGTTGTTTCATCATGAGGTGTTAATGAAGAAGATCCAGTTTTGCTGGTAGGTATGGTTCCATTCACAACAGTTACTATCTCAATTTGGCCAGGAGTCTTGCTATCGGTAAACGGCATCCGTCTCAGTCTGGCTAGAAGTATCGAAATAACGATGAGGATGAACAGAATGAGGAATACTAGTGCCGCACTGAGACCGGCTATCTGGCCATTCCCTAAGGAAGTTATCCCCATTGGCTTCAGGGAAACTCGAAGTGTGAAATTCGCTTCGGAACTTCCTGCGCGGTTTTCAGCGACACAATAAAATTCCCCAGTGTCGACTTCTTGAACATTCGTGAGCACTAAATTGCTCCTCTTTTCTTGCCGCCCTTCTTCGTAGACGTAAATCATTTGGTGAGTAGAGAAGACTGAATTATTCACTAGTGGGCGTCCGTTCCAATACCACTTCACATGTGCCGAAGGTATAGCATTGGCCCTGCAAGAAATGGTCGCGTTTTCCCCTGTAACAGCCTCGATGTATCGACTTACTGGCAGCATTTCTGGTTTACAGGCAAAATCGTCGATATGAATCTCTGTGAAAGTTTTGTGAATTACTCGTTCTGGTCCACCGCTGCATGTTGGATTTTCTGGATAGGGAATATTATTTGTTACGAGCCATTCTTTGACCGAGCGCAGACGGCAGTCACAATGCCAGGGATTGTCATGAAGTTCGACTCCATGTAATCGGCTCAAAGTTTCTACAGTGCGGAGTCTCAATTCTGAAAGCCGATTTCCGTTCAGTTTCAACGATTCCAACATTTCTATACCCTCAAAGGCTTTGGGAGCGATGTTTTGTATTTCACAATTCGACAAGTCAAGCTTTACTAGACCGTGTATAGCTTGGAATGCGAACGATTCGATTTTTTGTATAGGGTTGTTAGATAATATAAAATCCCTAAGGAATGGTATATCCTTGAAAGTGTCAGAAGGAACGGAGGTTAACAAGTTATGAGAGAGATCTAGTTCAATCAAGTTAGTGAGTCCTCTGAAAGCAACATCATCGATTTGTCCGATACGGCAACTACGGAGGTAAACCCGCTGAAGGTTTGCTAGGCCTGATCTAATGAATGTTTCTCGTGGGAGTATCTGAAGGTTGTTTCCAGATAGATCCAAAACTTGGGTTTCTGTGTCTATGCTCTCAGGAATGGTAATGAGTCCACGTTCCATGCACTCCACTGTTTGTTTTCCACCTTTCCACTTGCACGTACATGGAGAAGGACAAGTGCCTCCGATAGCATAAATGTTTGATGGAAATAATATGAGCAAGAAAGCGCACCACATCACTGAATTATCCAAGGGAGAGCTGCTTTATCACCATCAAGTAAATTTCTTTATCGTCGTGAGATATCGTGAGAGTGAGAACGACTACCGAACAAGGTGGGTGTTACCGCGACGGACTCTCGACTCTTACTGGCGTGCTAGGTTTACTCTTCGTCTTTCGGCTGCGTTGCGCACTGGTTCGCAAGTTGCCGCCGCAACAACGTACTGATTTTTACTTCGGTCGCTTTTATTATTGCATTCTTTGTATAAACGATTATTTTCGGTTGCAGTCATTTTATTCTGTTAGGTTCTTCGGCGTGCTGCAGACTGTTTAATTGAAGTGGTACGGTGAAATGTTGAATGCGATCATCGTCGATTATCGTGGTGGATGGTTTTGATTCATGCTGATTCTTTGAAGATTAGAAATGGGATCGATACTAGGAAACGCATGCTTATTCGACTTGATTATTTTGATGATCTTTTCAGAAATGTCCAACAGCCTCTCATGGAATTATCGCATTGCATTCCGAGTATCTCATAATATATTCGAAAACGCGAGGTTAATTATAGAAATACCTACTTGAATTCACAAAATTATTATAGCATTCACATTAAATTGAAGTGATTTTAGCATGACTTCAACATGTCAGCATGTCATCCTGAAACGATTCCAGATAGATTTATTGCTGGCCCCGATATAATTATGTATCGGTGATGAACTGAAAATTGAAAGAAGATATTATAAAATCCTCAACAAGACTGAACATGAAATTATAGTGTTCTCACCTATTCAGATTCTTAGTTCAAATGCATTGTTTCAAATGAGATTTTGTGACTCAATGCAATTCTAAATATACTTTATTGTCATGAGTTCTCACTTGTTGACAAAGCTTGTGACACATTATATACATGAAACAATTATAAATAAATAACACTAGTTTCAAAATAAATCACTCACTTGTTGACAACACTCGTGATGTATTTGAATAAATGAAAATGAATTGACGAAACAACTCGTGAAATACACAACACTTCGGAATAATCTAGTAAAACCTTGGTAGAAAATACTCAGTGAAGTTGTACAATGATGTTTGTCTTAGTATTGCTTCCACTTTTGTACGGAATTATTTGTTACATACAAAACCTTTGATTTTATTTGGCAGTTGATTATTCATTCTTATTACAGATCAAATGATCCTTGATTTAGCTGCAAGGGTTCATTGAATCTATTTGACTGCCCTGTTTCATTATATCGTGAGGAGACAAGTGGTATGGTCCATATATTCTTATGAATCAGAGAAGCTGATACCAAGATAATCAAATTGATAACAGTTAGTATACCACAATCCCCAAACAACTCTCCACAAGAATCTGTCGATTTTGCATGACACATAATGAATCTTAGAGCTCTCTCTTTTGGAAAAGAACTCCTTTGGAATAACTGATTACTACAGGCCCCAAAGAACGCCTTCCACCCAACAACATTCTTGATGTTTTGTTTCCTAATATGTCATGACCGATCACAAAGTTTGAAACATAACAATGAAAAGTCAGATTATCATAGTCGTCTTGATATTGGGAAAAAGGAAGTTTGAGTGATACCAATCTTTGATAACTCTGGAATTCCGCATCACAATCCTGTCTTATATCTCATCATCATTGTCTTTTAATGAAATTGTGGTGCCGTTCGCAATTAACGTGATTTCAACTTTCATATCAGGAAGAACCATATCGTGGTATGGTACCATCCAAAGGAGGGATCAGAATGGCCCTAAGGACTGATATATGAGGCACACAATGATTCATCTGCGCGATCTCTGAGATAGTGTTCTTCTCTTGGCTGTTTAGGAATTTTTTTTCTGAGACGGGAAAAGAGTTCAAAAATTCATCTCTGTTGACAGGTTATGGAATGTTCCTCTTCATGAATTACTCTTCTCCTACCGAATGAAAGTGGATAACGGATAAATATATACACTGTGGATGACTTTCGTTGTGCTAGCTCCAAAAATTAATCCACTAAGACCGTCTCCTAGAAAAAACTGCAAGTCCTTTGACATTTCATTCCACTTCGTGGTTACGTGAATCACTGATCAACCACTAAATTCACAATTTTTTAAAGTCGGATCACAAAAGGAGAATGACAGGTATTCAATTACTTCAGAAGAATGACAAAGGTATCTGCAAGAAGATGCACAGTTGTCATTCCTGTTGAAAACTTCAACATCCACGTTGATAATTTCCTGATATTATTATGATGTGATATCTTCCCAATATTGAATCGTAATTTTTCCTATCAGAGAGGAACAAGAGTATAATGAACAGGAACAATATTAGACTCAAGCTCACGGTCGCTACGCGTCGATATACAACACAACCTGGAGCTGAAATCTTCTACTTCTTCCCCTCATATAATAAACAACTAGGCCGCATGCCCCTGCGGTGGTTATTTTTTCAGATACAGTACCTCGCATTTTCAGTTTGCTATTTCGAATGCGATAATTAGTTCCATTGCAAATTGTGGCAAATTATATTATGACATTAGAGCAAGGTGAGAAAGACATCTCCTCCAAACTGCATTTTCAATTTTTGGTAATACTGAATTGTTATTTTATCTTTGTCTGGTTACATAAATGTGCCTAATATGATTATCATATCACCCATGATTAGCTCTTCGGAAAACATTTGACATGTATCGTAAATGCCATATCTTCGTATAGATGAGCATCACTAGGGAAGGTATTACTTTTTTCATGTTCTGGGTTACACAAAAAGGGATATTCTGTAATGTTCAGAGATTATCGTGAGAACCAAGGAAGAAGAGGTAGGAATTGGTGTTTTTCTTGAATTTCTGGAGATTTTATGCCTCGAGAAACACCTCCCTTGGCAATGTGTTCCAGAGCTTCGCTGTTTGTTGGATGAACGAGTCTTCCGGAATATCATTTTCTCGAGCTATAATTGCGTGGACTCTGAATGTTTCAGATGTATATTAGTTGCACCCCTCAGCCTACAAACCCGATTTGATTGTATCAATGAAAAATATATGGTTTTCAGTTATTCTATCCGTCAAATTTCAATGAAACATTCGGAATTTGGTATCAAAAATCTAATATTCCCACAATACGGTTTATATTCATAACATCTGAATTGGCTATCAATGATCACACTCAGGTATTTAATTCTATCAGTATAACTTTTCAATATCATCTACTCCATGATCGGAATAAATATCCAGACTATGATAATTTGGAAATATTTGTTTGATTAATTTTTAATTTTTCATTGTTGAAAGATGTTTGTATAGTTTCATAGTTTCTTGCTGAAAAAAAATTATATCTTTCATGACGATTATGAAGAAGTGACAATTCCACAATCCAGAGGATGATCTTTTTCAGTAAGTTTCTGAAATACGATGTCTCATATAGACTCTTCTTAGTGAAACAGTTCATTTTGGTGAGCGAGTTTCAGTGGAATAATTCATTTTAGTGAGTTCAACCTGCTGTTGAGAATATGTCCAACTTCATACAGATGATATTATGTTAGAGTTTTAATCAGTTCCTTGTTTCGTATACAGCGGGTGTGAAATAATATATTATTATGTATACTCGATTCACATACATATTTGAATGAGGATATCTGATTTCAGTTTTCATTCATCACATGAAAGAAGATGAGGTGAATCGAAGCAATGGAACTGAAGCCAACTCCATTCTTCGTCTTCTCAACTCATTCATTTATATTCACATGGGTTGAATGTCAGATTCACGTCCTGTCTTGTCGAAAAGATTGAGAGAGTTCTGAGAAATGTAGGTAGGTACATACTCTGATGCAGTTCACATAAGGGTGAATAAGATTGCGAATTTCCTAGAATATGAATCCACGACTGATGCACATTTTTTCAAGTTCCAGCACTGAGGAAGTACACATATCGCTTGATCCTTGTCTAGAAGACTCGTTGTACTCTTCTGGAAAGATGATGGGTAAAAAACTCGAAAGTGATAACGTCCTACATGTTTTACGGAACATGATGTTCTAGGTGTTTTCTGTTTGACTGCGCGACACTCGAGCCAGCCTTGTTCAACAAATAAAGGAAGACAGCTGATGATGATTTGTCGAAACATTGTCAATGGAAAAGTTATGAGTTTGCAATTTTGCAGTGATCTTGTCAGAGTCATTGATGAGCGTAATGATTCTCCTTTCGAACAAATCTCGGCCCCTAAGAATAATTCGGAGCTGATTCTCAGACATTCGAAGAGATTTCAAAAGATTTTCAAATCTGCGCTCTGTTGAATATCAGAAGCTGCTGTGGCGTGAAGAATTTCTTGTCAGGAAATTCTCAGCATCTGATAGGCCGCTCTTGCCATAAAACTAAGTATGGTTTCATTTTTGAAATCTGTAACAACTTCTCAAGAAGAATTATGAAACCCGTAGTTGCTTACCTGGATATCGTGACAATATTCAGGAATTGGACAGTATCCAACTTGTAAAGATCGAATGAAACAAGATTAGCTTGTTCACACAAATGAGTTTAATGCACTTCCTGTCAAAACTGACATCCATCCTAGAATGAATACCGAATGTTCACAACACTGAACTCGAACTTCACACCCTTTCACTAATGGTAGAGTTGATGTAAGAGTATAAATTATTTGAACAAAGTGTAGTCTTTAAGATGATCAGGTAGTTTAACAGTTCTGCCTGAATGTCTTACTACATTTGGGCTAATATTGCTGTTGGTAACACATTCCTCATAATCATTTATTAAATTTGGTTTCTCTGATTCTTCTAATGACTTCTGAGGACACGGTGAAGTATTCTGATGAGAGATTTCATCTGCCTCTAATTCGATTTCATTTTTCAGATCACATCGTGCACTTGAATCCTGAACTTTATTTTGACCAACCCAATACAATTACGTCTCAATCGACGCTGAAAATAAATCTAGCTCTTCATTAAATATTGATTTGGCTATGCTTACAGCTTTTTCTGCGAGTCCATTCAACTGGGGGTATGTAGGGCTTGACGTGATTGTCATGAAACCCCAAGAATTTGCAAATTTCACAAATTCCAAGCTATTGAATGGAACATTGTCTGACATAAAAATCAGGTATACCTTGTCTTGAAAAAAATTCTTTCAGAATGACTATGATTTCATAAGCAGTTTTGTTTCTCAGAATTTTGAGTTCAAGCCATTCACTAAATGAGTCATAGACA